GAGCCAGACTGCGTGATCCCCAGGACTCCTCCTCTTGGTTCTAAGGTTTCCCAGCTGGGCATTGTGGCACAGGGGGTTAAGCTGCTGATTACAATGCCCACAACCCGTATTGGAGCACAAGTTCAAATCCCAGCTCTTCCACTTCCGATCTAGCTTCCTATCAATGCACGTGGGAAGGCAGCTGCTGGCCCAGCTACTTGGGTCCCTACCACCCCTACCACCCATGTGGGAACCCCAGATGGAGTTTCTAGCTCCTGCTTTGGTCTGGCCCAGACCTCTTGATTGTGGGTATTTGGAGAGCGAACCAGCAGATGGAAGTTTGTTCTCTCTTTCTCTTCCTTCCTCTTCCCTCTCTCCTTTTCTCCATCATCTCCTTCCCTCCATTGTCTGTCTGTCTATCTCTCTCTCTCTAACTCTACCTTTCAAATAAATAAATAAGTCTTTTAAAAAAAAAGATGCCCCAACTTTCAGTGCCAGAAGTGGAAGCTGTGGATAAGCCAGGATAGGCAGCAGGATGAGAAGGCTGCGGGTGAAGATGTGCTTTGGGCAAGGAAAGGAGGGAGGCAGAGTGTCATAGGGTTGCCGTAAGGTTCGTGGTCAGCAGTGGAGAGCGCTCGGAATCCACTCACTCAGACCCAGGTTAACTGCAAGTCCTCAGTTTACTTCCGTGAACCTCATCGCCCTGGAAAGCGGTGATGGAAACGGTACTGCCTCCTAACCTGGCTGTGAGGAATCAGCAAGACGCCCCACACAGGGCCCGCACCGTGCTCGGCCGCATAAATCCTCAACTACCCAAGCCGCTGCTACGACCCTTCCTTGGCTTGCAGAAGTGAGACGTGGGGGCGGCGAGCAGTTTGCCCAGGGTCACGTGCCGAGGGGCGGGAGCCGACGACGCTGGTCTGTCTGGGCTCCCTCCTCCTCCCTGGCAGTCGTCCCCGGCCATCAGCCACTAATTTCTTCGCAGCAAGGTAAATGAAATAAATACACCCGCAACCGCCGAGCTACTCCAGGGAGGCGTGAGGCCAAGTGTTGTTCCCATGGTGTGTACTCAGGTGCGCACGCATTATGTGATGTGTTTAAAACCCAGCGGCAAAGGGCAGAGGCTGGGTGGTCCGCCCAGCTCCGACGTCCTGAAGGCAGTGCCCCCCGAGAGTGCTCAGTGTGACTTCAAGTGGGAGGAGGGGGCTTTCTAGAAGGGTGCACAGAGGAGCTTGGGCAGGACGGTGGTAGAACAGGAAGCCCACATCATTAAATATCACATAACCACCCCAGGGAACCACGTCGTGAGCCTCTGCTCTGTGGCATCACCAGGTTTCCTGCAGCCTCTGTTTCACCGGATCTCCCCAGCTACCCCAAGAGGCAGTTATTACTAATGACCCCATTTGACAGATAAGGAAACTGAGGGTGAGAGGAAACAGACCCCACCTGAAAACACACTGCAAAGCCAGGAGACACCTTACCTGGCGTCCCTGAGGCACTGGGGGTGCTGAGGACGCTCACAGAAGCTGGGCACCTGCAAACCAGCACCAATAGGGTCCGACAATAGCTTCACGTATTCCTCTGCCAAATGAACCTGAGAATTGAACTTGACCTTGATGAGGATGGAAAAAATATATATATAGCATGAGGTGAGCATGAGATTTTTGGAGGAAAAGAAAAAGTGTTATGGGATTGTTGCGGAGGGGGGTGGTACGGGGAGACTGTGTGTCTGTCTCTGTCTCTCAGAGAGCAAATTCCCCTGCCTGTCCCCAACCCAGCCTCTTTCCAATTCCTTCCAAACATTAGGTTTCCTGTCTAAGGCCAATATATGAGAAGGAACCAGCCCCCCATGTTCGCATGCTCCAGCCAAGAGGGCCCTCCCTGATTCTTGAAGGCAACAGGGAAAGAAAGGACAAGCTGAGAATGGCCCCAGAAACGCTGGGAGGGGCGGGCGATGGTGCGGATTGCTTTCTTTCTGTTTGCTTTGTTCTTCGGCCAAGTACACCCAGAGGCCAAGTCCGGCCTCTGTACTCCAGTCTGACCAGAGCTGGCACCAGGGAGAAGTGAGCTGGGGTGGGGGTGGGGGGGGCCCGCCTCCCTGGGAGCTCACCTTCCAGTCCTTTCTTCCATTGAAGGACAGAGGCTGGGGCCACATTGGGGGCCTAAGGGAGTCCTGGGGGTCAGAGCCCTACCTGCACCTGGAACCTGGAACAGATAGGGTTGGGAGGAAGTAAGGAAGCCAGCAAAGGGCCAGCGCTGTGGTGCAGCCGATGAAGCCACTGCCTGCATCCCGTATGGACGCCGGTTCAAGTCCCAGCTGCTGTACTTCCAATCAAGCACCCTGCTAATGCACCTGGGAAAGTAGTGGAAGATGGCCCAAGTGCTTGGGCCCCTGTCACCCACATGGGAGTCCCAGATGAAGCTACCAGCTTCTGGCTTCAGCCCGGCCCAGCCCCAGTCATTGCGGCCATCTGGGGGGTGAACCAGCAGATGGAAGACCTCTCTCTTTCTTTCCCTCTCTCTCTCTAACTCTGACTTTCAAATAAATAAATAAATCTTAAAAGAGAAAAAAAAAAGCAAAAAACAAGGAAGCCAAGAAAGGGTGGACCGGCCCTCGCCAGGGAGGTGGCCGTGGTGTCCTGTGTGGACTTCCCTGCCTGCCAGGACCTCGGCGGCAAGCTGCTGAGAGCCGCCCAGCACACGGCCACACACAGAAGAGAAATGACACAGCACCCCGGCGATGCCTGAATACACAGAGGGAAACACACACGCACGGCGACAGCAGATGGAGACGCAGCCTGGGCTGGGGCCGGGCATTCGTTATCCCCCACCCACACGGAGGGGCTGACTGGGGGGATTACGTAATGCGAGCTGCAAAGACACTGCTCCCCCTGCTCCCCCCAGGGTGACACCTCCTCCTGGGGAAGGGTGGGGAGCCCTCTGCCCCCAACTTGCGGGCATCTCAGCCCCCGGGTGACCCTGGGAAGTGGCTAAGAGGGAAGCGAGAGAGTGAGTGTCATTTCGTGCGTGGTGGCAGATGGGGCTCCCTCCTTGTGCTGAAGTGTGGCAAGGATGCTGGCGGGAAGGCTGCTGGGCTGGAGAGGGGCCGCAGGGGAGGGTAGGGGAGGGGAGGAGACAGGGCGGCTTGTGGAGGCCTCCAACCCCTCACACCCACTGCTGCCTGCAGTCCTGGCCCCAGCCCAGACGCATCCGACACACTTACCCCACCCGCTGTGCACCTGCTACATGGTACACACACACACTTCACCTGGGCCCCGGCATCTCCACTTGGGCCCCTGTTGGCCTTGGGTACCCCAACATGCAAGTTGGAAATTTCCAGCCTTTCTGGGGAGCAAAGCTGGGAATTGAGATAAAAAACTAGAATAGACACTTAGAATAACTAGAGCACAATTTGGTAAGCTCAGGCGCAAGTTCAGATCTCATCTCTGTCATTGTGAGACCCTGGACAAGTGACCAAACCTTCCCCAAGCTTCCGGCTCTTCCACTGCTGGCAGGGTGTGGGGGGAGGGGGGCTGTATTGTGGGGAGCAGAGGAGGAGAAAAATACATGTGAAGAGCATCAATGCGCTGGCGCCGCGGCTCAACAGGCTAATCCTCCGCCTTGCGGCGCCGGCACACCGGGTTCTAGTCCCGGTCGGGGCACCGGATTCTGTCCCGGTTGCCCCTCTTCCAGGCCAGCTCTCTGCTGTGGCCAGGGAGTGCAGTGGAGGATGGCCCAAGTCCTTGGGTCCTGCACCCCATGGGAGACCAGGAGAAGTACCTGGCTCCTGCCATCGGATCAGCGCAGTGCGCCGGTCGCAGCACACCAGCCGCGGTGGCCATTGGAGGGTGATCCAACGGCAAAGGAAGACCTTTCTCTCTGTCTCTCTCTCTCTCTCACTGTCCACTCTGCCTGTCAAAAACAAAAAAAATGCTTTGCAAGTGTCTGCTCCGCTTTGTCTTTGGGAGTTTCCTGAATGCATAAATATTCATTGAGTACCTACTATGTACCTGGGCTGGTCCTGAGGGCTCAAGGTCAGCTGTTGCTGGTTTTCTCCAGCAAGGTTTCAGCATGTGGACTCATCTCTGGGATATACAATGTCTGTCAGCGTCAAGTCTCTCTTTCTGAACTTGGAGTCAGCTGATAAATACAAAATGGCTTATGAAGGCCATGTGGCACCCATCGCCTGCGGGTCCCCGGAGGGTGAGTTTGTCGGGGAGGTTTTGGGGGACAGGGTGTCTGGAATGGGAAGCCCTAAGCTCTGTGCCAGAAACTGTTTGCAAAATGCAGAGCTGAGGGCTGAGTGACAGGTGGGTGTGCCAACGCCTGCCCTGGGAAGGAGAGAAGAGAGGTCTCGGGATTTTTGTCACTTGGTTTCTGGCACTGTCCCTGGTGTCCCCAGGAGGATCTTTGGTCTCTGGGGGTTCTGATCACGGGGATGAACTTGGGAAAGGCGTCTCCTGTGGGAAAAGGGATTTGGTTTCGAGGTTGGTGGCTTGCAGCTGGGGCCTGTCTGCTGGCTACCGTTTCCGTCTTAGCTTTGAGAGTGGTACCGTGTACTCCACGTCAGTGTCTTGTTTTTCTTCTTCTTTTTACGCCCTCCCTCTTCTCCTTTCCTCAGCTCCGGGAGCCCCAGATCGGCTGTGCACCTCACGGACGGGGGACCACGATGCCCAGGGAGTAGACAACATCTGCCACATGTCCCCCTTGACCCCTCCGCCAGACGCTTCTCCCCCTCAGCCTGTCTGACCCGTTGATCAGGGACACGTCCCCCCGCCACCTCTCCCGACGTCTGCCTGGTCAGCCATTGCTTCCTTGGAGAACGAGGACGGCGGCAGACGCATGAAATCATGCCACCGGCAGCCAGGCGGCCGTGACTGGGTGACGCCGGGTTGACGTCAGAGCCGGAGAAGACTGAGAGAGCTCGGCGGCCCCAGCTCCCGGCCCCTTCCCTCGGCGAAGCCTGGAGCCCAGCACCTCCTGGTAAAGTCTTCCCGGCTTGATAGGTGTTGAGGTCTCCCGCCGGGCACCATGGAGGAGCACGTGTTTGGCGTTCAGCAAATCCAGCCCAATGTCATCTCGGTCCGTCTCTTCAAGCGCAAGGTGGGGGGCCTGGGGTTCCTGGTGAAGGAGCGTGTCAGCAAGCCCCCCGTGATCATCTCCGACCTGATTCGAGGCGGGGCCGCCGAGCAGAGCGGCCTTATCCAGGCCGGCGACATCATTCTCGCCGTCAACGGCAGGCCCTTGGTGGACCTGAGCTACGACAGTGCCCTGGAAGTGCTCCGGGGTGTTGCCTCGGAGACCCACGTCGTCCTCATCCTGAGGGGCCCCGAGGGCTTCACCACGCACCTGGAGACCACCTTCACCGGAGACGGCACCCCCAAGACCATCCGGGTAACCCAGCCCCTGGGTGCCCCCACCAAAGCCGTCGATCTATCCCACCAGCCGCCGTCGGCCGGCAAAGAGCAGCCACGGCCAGTGGACGGGGCCGCGGGGCCTGGCAGCTGGCCTCAGCCCGCCCAAGGTCACGGGCAGGAAGCCGGCTCACCCTCCCGCGCCAATGGCCTGGCCCCCAGAACGTCAAGCCAGGACCCTGTCAAGAAAAGTGGCTGGGCGGGCCTGCAAGGCAGTGGCGATAAGAACGAGCTCCTGAAGGAGATTGAGCCCGTGCTGACCCTCCTCGCCGGTGGGAGCAAGGCAGTCGACGGAGGGGGCCCTGCCAAGGCGGAGACGAGAGACACGGGAGTCCAGGTGGACAGGTGAGCTGCCCAGGTGTGTGTGTGCATGTGTGTGTGCGTGTGTGTGTGCACGCGGGAGTCTCAGCCTCACAGCCCAGAGCTGCTCAGATCATGCACATGCATTTGGCCACCCTTGACCTTGCCCCCAAACTTGCAGTGACAACAGGTGAACGGGCACAACTTCAACGATGCGTCTCTTGCTGTGGAACCCATAGCTCATTATGAATCTTGCAGGTGGACATGGTGCCTTTCTGTTTCTATCCCCAGACAGGGAGAATCTTGTAAGAGCCCTACAAGGTGGTGTGTGTATGTGTGTGTGTGTGTGTGTGTGTGTGAGAGAGAGAGAGAGAGAGAGAGAGAGAGAAAGTTCCACATTTTACCTCTGCAAAGACTGAGGCTTAGAGAGGAGGGTTCCTTCCTGGGACTGCCTGGCAAGGGAGAGGCACCGGCGCTCAGTGCCAAGGCCCTGGGCCACCCTCCGCCTAAACCGGCTTTGTCTCCAAGACAGACATTCGGGCACAGGGAAGACAATCAGAGTGTGGGACAGGCACGGGCTCCCGAGCTCAGCGATCTCACTCAGATACGCAGGAGCTGAGGCTACGCTTAAAGAGCCGGGGACCAGCCCCTCTGTGTCTGCCAGACTGGAGTTTTCCAGTTCTCCATGGGTGGTGCCAGCTCCTCCCCAGGGAGGATTCGGTGTCTGGGCCAGGTGGTTGGAGGGTGCTGGGTCAGGAGAGGGATGAGAGGAGAGAGGAGTCCCTCTCTGCCTTCCACTCTCGTCGGAGCCCTGGTGTGGACCCTACAGGCCCTATGCTGCCAAGGCGGGGCGGGGCGAGGGTGCCCAGAGGGAGGCTGGGGCTGGGCCGCCCGGGAATCCAGGCCGCCATGGTGTCCCAACCACCTTTCCCCAGAATCCTAAGAGGCCTGGGAGCATTTAGAGAGCCCCAGGAAGCCCCTGGGGACCTGGGTTACAGGAGCTGTCTGAGTCCTGGCATTCAGGCATTTACTGAGTGTGCACTGAGGACCTACTGTGTGCCAGGCACCGTGGTTGGCTCTGGTGGTGGCTCAGTGAGTAGGAAGGGGCATCCCCTGACCTGGGGGCATCTTAGTATCGTGGGGGAGATGGCCCACGGCGAGAGAAATATTTAAAGTCACACTTAGGTCAGCAACGCGCTAAGGACATGAAGGAGAGGAGGCAGGACGCCTGAGCAGGGCGGCCAGCACCGTTCTCATTGGGAAAACAGCATTTGAGGTCCTGGAGGGAAGGAGCAGTGGTAGGCATTTGCCTGACATGTGTGAGGGGCGACGTGGGATCTGGGTTCCCTCCCTGATGGGGCAGCCTCAGGGCCACCGCCTGGGGTTTTCCTGACTTCCTGCCTCGGCTCAGAAATGGAGCCCATTCCAGCGAGGCCCTAGACCCCCTCTGCAGGACACTGGCGGCCCCATCACAGGCCCCAGCAAGGAGAACAGGGGTCCCTGCCTGCCCTCTGAGCCCCTGCCACTCCTTTCCCTCTGCAACTCCCCCGGACACGGCTTGCAGTCCCCTTCCTGTGGTCTCACCTCCGGGAGAAGGCACTTGCAGTCTTGGCCCCAGAAACAGGCCAGGGCCCACCCTCTGGCTGGGACAGGTGCTTGCGGACCTCTGCTGCCCTGGGGGTCCATTTCCAGAGCTGGCCACCAGGGTCACTCCCCAGGGTCCTCCTGGCCGCCGGGGACTAGAGGTCTGGTTTGCCCACGACTGCCTCCAATAAGCAAGAGACCTCCCAGGCCAGCACTCAGCCCCCCACCACGAGGAGCTGCCCCAGCCCAGGGTCCCTGCAGTGTCACATCCAGGGCAAGCAGCACATTCAGGCTGTGACCACCTCCCGGGTCCCAGTCTCTAACTGAGAAGCAGTGGTGTGTCTGGGATGAGCAGCATTGGCCTTGCTGGCTGGGATACATGAGCAAGTGCCCGTCTGCTCCAGCCATGACCTCTGCCTCCCGCCCCTGTTGACCCTCCCTGTTCCTCTTACCACCTCTCCCAGAGAGCAGTGAGGAGGACACTGAGCAGGGACCCTGCCCAGGGGCCACTGGCCTGGATGGCCGCCACTCGCCCCTGCACTTGACTGTGGTTCTCAGCTGGGCAGCAGGGAGACACGGGCAGTCAGAGCAGAGCCCCCAGGAGTCTGAACCACAGGGGAGGATGTGCAGTCCCCAGAGGATCCCCTGTTGTGGGCTCACACACACATACACAGGCATACATATACATACACACACATATATCCATATGCATGCATGTACATGTGTGTACATACATATGTGTGTATACATATACATGCATGTACATGCATACGGATACATATATACATGCACATACATACCCATATGCATGCATACACACACATGCATCCATACACACACATACATACACATATACACATACGTGTGTGTGCATGTTTACATATACATATACACATCCATATATACATGCACATACACACCCATATGCATGCATACACACATGTATCCATACACGTATACATACATACACATACATGTGTGTGTTCACACATACATGTACATATACACATCCATATATACATGTACACACATGCACACATGCACCACACACATGCACATATACATACACATGCATGCTTACACATAAGTACACATGCATGTGCATATACACACGCGTCCATACATGCATATATGTGCATGCACACCCATGTACATATACATGCAGAAGCATGCACATGCACCTACATGCATGCAATACACATATATGCATACATGTATACATGCACGTGCATGCTCATATGTGCGTGCATGTGTGTGCATGCATGCACATATAGACATGCAAATTTATATGCACAAATACACATACACACACACACACACTCCAAGGAGCTACTTTGACCTTGTTCCCAACAAACAGGCTCTATAGAGAACATCAGGCTTAGGCTTGGACTTGGACTTGACTGCGGGTGTGAAGACTTTAATGGGAGCCCTGGGTGTGTGTTTGGGGGGGCATTCTTCAATCTCCATCCCAGGGAAGCCATCTCCTGCCTTTGTGTCTACAAGGACAAGGGAGGAGGGCCGAGCTGCTCTGTGGGCTCCTGCCCTGACAGACCTGTTTTTCCAGCTCAGGAACCTACATCAGGAATGCTTCATCCATCACTGCCACCCATCTCTACCTTGCACGCACGATGAGGCTGTTTGACCCTAAGCAGCAGGAAATGCAAGTTTGGGGCACTAGGAAGCCCACTGAGCCAGCAGTTCTAAGGCTGAATGTTTCCTAACAGCACATGCACCCCTATCAGATTTCTAAGACATGATTTTTTAAGGTTTATTTATTTATTTGAAAGGTGGTGTTAGAGAGAAGGAGAGACAGAGATCTTCCACCCACTGGTTCACTCCCCAAATGGCTGCAACAGCCAGGATAGGGCCAGACAGAAGCCAGGAGCCTGGAACTTCTCCCAGGTCTCCCACATGGGTGCAGGGGCCTGATCACTTGGCCCATCTTCTGCCGCTTTCCCAGGCATTAACAGAGAGCTGGATCGCAAGTGGAGCAGCCAGGACTCGAACCAGTGTCTATATGGGATGCCAGCGTTGCAGCCAGTAGCTTAACCCTTTGTGTCCCAGCACCGGCCCCATAAGAAATATTTTTAAAGGGCCAGGCATTTGGCACAGCAGTTAATATGCCTCTTGGGATGTCCACATCCCATATCAGAGTGCTTGGGGTGCAATTCCAGCTCCACTTCTGATCCAGCTCCCCGGGAGGCAGCAGGCTGTGACTCAAGTCCTTGGGCCCCTGCCACCCACGTGGGGGACCTGGACGGAGCTCTCGCTCCAGCTGAAGCCTGGCCCAGTCCCAGCTGTTGCACACATTCAAGGAATGAACCAGAGGATGGAAAACATCTTTCTGACTGTCCCTTTCTCTCTGCTTTCAAATTAAAAAAATAACTATTTTTACAATATTTTAAGTGCCCCTTTTACTAACTGCAAGCTGATTCATGGATAATACCAGGGTACCTTAAAATGTTTGTGGAAAATTTAACTAAAAGATAAGCTTATTTGGGTGCAGCAAGGTTTGAAGGGATCAGTGTCGTGATCCAGTCAATTAAGCCACTGCCTGTGACACCGGCTTCTCACATGAGCACGGGTTCAAGTCCCGGCTGCTCCACTTCCAATCCAGCTCCCTGTAATGTACTTGAGAAGACAGCACCAGATGACCCAAGTCCTTGGGCCCCTGCCACCCATGTACGAGACCCAGCTGGAGTTCCAGGCTCCGGGCTTTAGCCTGGCCCAGCCCCGGCTGTTGTAGCCATTTGGGAAGAGAACCAGCAGAAGAAAGATTTTTCTCTCTTTTTCTCTCTCTCTCCCCCTCCTTCTCCCTCTCTTTCTCTCTCCTCTTCTCCCTGCCCTCTGCCTCTCTGCTTTCTCTTTATCTCTCTAACAGCCTGCCTTTCAAATATGTAAATAAGTAAATCTTTAAAGAAAGAAAGATTTGAAATCCATGCCCACAACAGTCTTGAAAAAAGGTCATGGAAAACAGAAATGATGGGAAATTGATGCATGGATTTTAAGAAGATTTTGCACCAAAATAAGCTTACCTTTTAATTTGATATTCCCCAAACTTTTGGAAGCACATCTTATAAGCTACCCGCACTTGCTATTGTGTGTTCAGTCTAACGCCCTAAGGGTGACATCCGGGAGTCAGAGCATAGGGTGAAATCCGGTGGGTGCGTGGGTGGGAGCATGAGCGCCCAGACAGGCCCCCCACGAAGGGTCGGACGTCGGCACGTTCACGTAGGCTCGCTGCGCACACCACGGCGTCAGCTGCAGCCGGGCACAGGTGTGTTGTTTTGGCAACGCAAATGCCACCAGCAGCGTCGCCTTGGTGACGCAAGTTCCTGAGACAGCAGCAGGCCCCATCAGCCTTTCCTGGCTTTGCCCGGTACTGCGGGTTCGGCAAGTGTGTGCGTGGGAAACTACATTTTGGAGCCACATTTCTACGTGAGACAGGGAGAGGATCTCGG